CTTAATTTGTGCTCAGCTTTGATGGTGGTGGTTTATAGAAATACTTCTGGTTTTTGCACATTGATTTTTGTATACTGAAACTTTCTTGAAGTTGTTTATCAGATCGAGAAGCTTTTGGGCAGAGGATATAGAATTCTAAATATAGAGCCACATAGTCTGCAAACAGGGATAGCTTGACTTCCTCTCTTTCTATTTGGATGCCTTTTATTTATTTCTCTTGCCTAGTTGCTCTGGCAAGGGCTTCCAGTAGTATGTTGAATAGAAATAGTGAGAGAGGACATCTTTATTTTGTTCTGGTTTTCAAGGAGAGCATGACCAGCTTTTGCCCATTCAGTATGAGGTTGGCTGTGGGTTATTCATAGATTGCTCTTATTATTTTGAGATATGTTCCTTTAATGCCTAGTCTGTTGAGGGTTTTTTAGCATGAAGCAATGTTGAATTTTATCAAAAGCCTTTTCTGCATCTGTTGAGATAATCATATGGTTTTGGTTTTAGTTTTTTTAATGTGTTGAATTACATTTCCCGATTTGTGTATGTTGAATCAATGTTGCATCCCAGGGATAAAGCCTACTTGATCAGAGTGGATTAGATTTTTGATATGCTACTAGATTCGGTTTGTTAGTATATTGTTGAGGATTTCGCATCTATGTTTACCAACAATATTGGCCTGAAGTTTTCTTTTTTTGTGGTATCTCTCCCAGGTTTTGGTATCAGGATGATGTTGGTGTTACAGAATGGATTATATAACTTCTCAATTATGTGGAATAGTTTCAGAAAGAATGGTACTAGCTCTTCTTTATACATGTGGTAGAATTCAGCTATGAATTGGTCTGGTCCTGGGCTTTTTTGGGTCAGCAGGCTTTTTATTACTAATTCATATTCAGAACTCATTATTGGTCTGTTCAGGGGTTCAATTTCTTCCTGGTTTAACATTGAGAGCTTGTATTTCCAGGAACATATCCATTCCTTCTGGGTTTTCTAACTTGTGTGCATGGAGGTGTTTGCAATAATCTTTGAGGGATTTTTGTATTTCTGTAAGATTGATGGTAATGTCTTCTTTGTCATTTCTGATTTTTTTGTCTGAGCTATTCCCATTTTTCTTTATTAGTCTTGCTAGCAGTCAATCTATCTTATTTATTCTTTCAAAGAACCAACTTCTGGATTTATTGATCTTTTGCATGGTTTTTCATGTCTCAATTTCCATTAGTTTATCTCTGATTTTGGTTATTTCTTGTTTTCTGTTAGCTTTGGAATTGGCTTTGCCTTGTTCCTCTAGTTTCTCTAGGTGTGATGGTTGGTTGTTAATTTGAGATCTTTATAACTTTCTGATGTAGATATTTAGTGCTATAAACTCCCTTCTTAACACCAAGTTAGTTGTATATCTGAGATTCTGGTATGTTGTATCTAGTTTCTCATTATTTTCAAAGAATTTCTTGATTTCTGCTTTATTTCGTTGTTCACCCAAAAGTCATTCAGAAGCATGTTGTTTACTTTTCATGTAGCTGTATGGTTTTGAGTGATTTTCTTAGTATTGATTTGTATTTTTATTGTGCTTGGTATGAGAATGTGGTTGGTATGATTTCAGTTTCCTTGAATATGTTGAAAATTGTTTGATGGTTATTTGTGTTATTAATTTTAGAGTATGTGCCATGTGCAGATGAGAAGAATGTATGTTCTGTTGATTTTGGTTGGAGAGTTCTGTAACGTCTGTTAGGTCCATTTGGTCAAGAACTGAGTTCAGGTCCTGAAAATTGCTGTTAGTTTCCTGCCTTGATGATCTGTCTAATAGTGTCAGTGGTGTGTCCATGTTTCCCATTATTATTGTGTGATTATTTAACTTTATTAATAGGTGTCTAAGAACTTGCTTTATGAATCTGGGTGCTCCTGTGCTGTGTGTATGTAACCATTTAGGATAACTAGATCTTGTTGAATTAAAAATTTTTACCATTGTATTATTACATGCCCTTCTTTATCTTTTTTGATCTTTGCTAGTTTAAAGTCTGTTTTGTTTGAAATTTAAATACGGGGGGTACACCTGCAGATTTGCTACATGGAAATATTGCATGATGCTAAGGTTTAGAGTGTGGATCCTGTCACTCAGGTAGTAAGCATCTGTCACTCAGATGATCCAATCACTGATTGACAGTTTTTAACCACTTCTCCATTCTCTAGTATTGCACAGTGCCTATGGCTCCCATATTTATATCCATGCATGCTCCATATTTAGTTCCCACTTATATGTAAGAACATGTAGGTTTTCTCTTGGTGTGTTAATTTGCTTAGGATAATGACCTTCAGCTCTATCCATGTTGCTGCAAAGAATATGATCTCATGTAATTCTTTTTCATAGCTGTGTAGTATTTCATGGTGTATTTATACCATATTTTCTTTATCCAATCTGCCATTGTTGGGCACGAGGATTGATTCTGGATATTAGGTCTTTACTTCTACCATATTCTGCTTTATTTGTTCACTCTGTTGATAGTTTCTTTTTCTGTGCAGAAGACATAAAAATCTTTAACAAAATACTAGCAAAGTGAATCCAGCAGCACACTGAAAAGTTAATATACCATGATTAAGCAGGCTTTATTCTTGGGAGGCAAGGCTGGTTCAACATACACAAGTCAATAAATGCCATTCACCATGTAAACAGAATCAAAAGCAAAAGTCATATGGTTAACTCAAAAGATGAAGAAAAAGTTTTTGATAAAATCCAACATCCCTTTATGATAAAAAACCCTCAAGAGAGTAGGTGGTGAAGAAACATAACTGAAAATAATGAATCATCTATGACAAACCCACAACCAACATCAGACTGAATGGGAAAAAGCTCAAACTGTTGTCCTTAAGAACTGGAACAAGACATAATGCCCTCTTTCACCACTCATATTCAATGTAATATTTGAAGTCCTAGCCAGCACCGTCAGGCAAGAGAAATAAATAAAAGGCATCATGAAGGAAAAGAAGAAACCAAATATCTTTCTTTGCTGATGATATGATTCTATACCTACAAAATTCTAAAGACTCTGCCCAAAGGCTCCTAGATATGATAAACAACATTAATAAAATTTCTGGACACAAAATCAATGTCCAACAATCAGTAGTCTTTTAAACACTAACAACATCTGTGCTGAGAGTGAATTGAAGAACACAATCCCACTTACAATAGCCACAAAGAAAATGAAATACAAAGGAATAGAGTTAACCAAAGTAGTAAAAGGTCTCTACAAAGAGATCTACAAAATACTACTGAAAGAAATCAGAGACAATACAAGCAAATGCAAAAACACTCCATGCTCATGGATTGGAAGAATCAACACATGTGTGAGTGTATGCATCCTATTGTCAAGCAGCTAAGTTCTATTTTTTATTCCTGTTTATTGAAGGAAATGTAAATATGTTGGCTTGCTTATATCTGTCATGTGGTATATGTATTTTTTCAGATTCTTGGTATTTATTTTCTCCCTTTGGTTACAGTATGGTTAATTTAACTTGATTTGACTATTTTTGGCTTTTTCTATTTCAAAATTTTTCTTATTATACTTTAAAACAAGATGAAATATATCTTCTTATATTTCAAATGTTTCAGCATAAGTTTAAATTAAATGAGTTTTGCAAAATGATTATTCCAAAAATTTCCTGGGAGACTTAAATACTATTTTATCAAGTTATACAATTTCTTTCTTGATAATATTAGAAAAGCCAAGTGAGAAATGAAGAAACATTTTATTTCTTGGAAATCAATTCTCATAATTTCTTAATGATAGAAACAATTCTGACTGTGATTAAAGGGTAAGAAAGAAATGGTTTCATCTAACTAGTCTCACAAATCAATATTCAAAGGACCATGAGAAAGTTAACCTGGCTGAACTAGTCAGGACTTCCAGAAAAAATGTAAAGGCACTAATCTTTTATTTTCACTTAAATGCCCAAATTCAGCTTGCTCTTACTTCTGTAAGATGAATGCAATTTTTTTGATTGTATCATTGAAAGCTTGTTTCACTTGCTTGTTTCTCAAGGTATAAATAAAGGGATTTAATAAAGGAGCAACAGATGTAGTGAGCACAGATACCCCTTTATTGATGGCCACCTCTTCTTTGGCAGAAGGCTTGATGTAGATGAAAATGCAGCTACCATAGGTGATAGAAACAACAACCATGTGAGAAGAACATGTGGAGAAGGCTTTTTTCCTTTGCTGAACAGAGGGGAATCTGAGAATTGTTTTGATAATGTATACATAGGAAAGAATCACTCCTATTAGTGTAATAATGAATGTCAATACTGCACATACTATAACCGTTTGTTCTATAAACCATGTATCTGAGCATGAAATCTTAAAAAGAGGAGATGCATCACAGCCAAAATGATCAATGACATTGGAGTCACAGAATTCTAGTTGGAGGCCCATACTCAGTGGTGTGATGATGATCATCAATCCAGAGATCCAGCAGCAGAGGACAAGGGTGGCACACACTCTGTGGTTCATGATGGTCATGTAATGCAGGGGCTTACAGATGGCCACATAGCGGTCATAGGACATGGCAGCCAGGAGAAAAAACTCAGTGGCTCCAAAGAGCCCAATAAAAAAAATTTGACTGGCACAAGCATTGTAAGTTATAGTATTGTTCCTTGTTGATAAGCTGTACAGGAATCTGGGAATACAGACAGTTGTGAATGAGATTTCTAAGAAGGAGAAGTTTCGTAGAAAAAAATACATAGGTGATTTAAGATAGGAATCCATCAGGGTTAGAATGATAATGGTCAGGTTTCCAGTAATGCTCAGAATGTATGTCAGAAATAAAAAAATAAAAACCAGAACTTGCAGCTGTGGGTCATCTGTAAGTCCCAACAAGATAAATGTTGTTATTTCTGTGTGATTTCTCATAACTACTTTGATAGTTAGGCAATCTTATCTAAAAATTCAAAGTGAAAATACCTAAACAGGAGAAAGAAATAAATAGGTAAAAATTAATGAAATAGACAGAAAAACAAGAGATTAATAGAGTCAAAAGATAATTTTTAAAGATAATGAGTAATATTGATAATATTTTAAGAGATTAAACTGAAAAGATAGAAGATGCAGTTTATAAGATATGAGAGTAGTCACATTAATAAGAAAAACATTGATATTAAAAAGTTAAAATTGAATGTATTGGAAACCATGTAGGTTCAGCAAATTACATAATATTAACTAATTCTTCAAAATATGTAGTTTACCAAGGGCCACTCAAGCTGAAATATCAAATTTAAAAACTCCATATTTATTAAAATAAATGAATAATGCTAAAATATCCAAAGAAGGAGAACTAAGAATAGTTGAATTATTGATTTCTACCATAAATTAGCAAAAACATTTACCAGATCTACATAAGTTCTCTAATAAAGCTGACTGTTGGAAATAAAAATTATAATACCTGTTGGAGTTTCCAATATAATACATAATATAAATGGTAACAATAAAAAGATGAGGAGTAAAGTATCCTATATAGTCATAAACTTTCTAAATTCTCCCTCAAATAGTAAAATATTTATTTTGAATGACTGTGAGACGTTACATGTGTTTGTTATTTCTAGACTAGACACAAGTACTGAAATATAAACCGTTAAGAAAAGATGTAGTAAAAAACACATTAATAAAAATGGAATACTATAACTATTCAATTGAAGGCAAGGAATGAAAACAAAAGAAGTTAAACAGAGGGAACGAATGAAAATCAACTAATAAAATGATAGGTTTAAGACCAAACTTGTAAATAATTACATTTAGTATAAATGATCTGAACATACCAATTAAGACAGACATTATTAGATTTTTAAATGTAGTGCAACCAGAGATTGTATATAAGAGCTTCAATTCAAATGGAATGCCATAGGCAGTTTTAAAAAAAGAATAGAAAAAGAAATACTATGCAAACAATAATCAATCAAAAGTACATTGTTGTGGTTTTATTAATATTGGACAAAGTAGATTAACAGCTATACAGAAGAAAAAAATATATGGATAAATGGATCAATTTACTAAAACATAGAGATTCTGATTGTTTATGTACCTAATAATAGTCCATCAAAATATGTCAAGAAAAATTGGCAGAAATGAAAGAAGAACTAGATAATTGGCAATTACACTTGGATAGAACTCGTGGACTAAACATTAGCAAGGATATACAAGAACTAAGCAACACTCTAGACCTTATAGAAGCTGAGAGTAGAAGGATGGTTACCAGAGAGTAGGGGAAAAGAAGGGATGAAGAACATGGGAAGTTGTTGGTCAAAAAGTACAAAGTTGCAGATAGATAGGAGGAATAGGTTTTAAGATCTATTGCACAGCTGGGTGAACATAGTCTATACTAATAGTGATTTCAAAATAATTGAGTAGATTTCAAATAGCTTAACTCAAAAAATGATAGCTGAGCAATGAGTATGTTAATTAGTTTGATTCAATCAGTCCATATTGCACTTGATCTTAGCCAAAAGGCCAGGAATCATTCAGTCCTTATTTTATATATAAATCAAAACACCAATTTGAATTCCATGAATGTATACAATTATGTTTTGTTATTCAAAAATAACATTAGCATAAATTTTCTAAAAGAATAAGAAAAACAAAAAAATCATAAAATGTAAGTGGTCTTTAGGTAAATGTCAAAAATAGCATTTATCTAAAAAAAGCTTTAGATAGATAGATGATAAACAGAGAGAGACACATACAAGATACTATATATGTGTGTGTGTGATATATATATACTATATATGATACTATATATGATACAAGATACACACACAGATATACACACACAAACCACACACACTTTTTAAAAATAAAAAGACAAACATTGAAACTGGATCCCATCCTTATCCCATATACCAAATACCAAAATCAGCTCAAGATAGATTAAAGACTTAAACGTAAAACATAAAAGTATAAAAACCTTGGAAGATAAAATGCCATTCTATAAATAGGCCCTGGCAAAGATTTCATGACAAAGACACCAAAAGCAATTACAACAAAAACAAAAATTGGCAAAAAGACTTAATTGGACTAAAGACTTTGTGCATAACAAAATAAACTATCAACAGAGTAAATGGACAACCTACAGAATGGGAGAAAATATTTGCAAACTACGCATCAGACCAAGTTCTAATATCCAGAATCTACAAGGAACTTATACAAATTAACAAACAAGAAAACTGACTCCTCACTAAAAAGTGGGCAAAGACATGAACAGACACTTTTCAAAAGAAGATAAACATGTGGCCAAGTGTATGACAAAATACCTAACATCACTAATTATTAGAAAAATGCACATCAAAACCTCAATGAGATACCATCTCACACCAGTCAGAATGGCTATTATAAAAAGTAAATAAATTAACAGATGCTGGCAAATTGTGAAGTAAAGGGAACATTTATATACTGCTGGTAGAAATATAAATTAGTTCAGCCAATGTGGAAAGCAGTTTGATGATTTCTCAAAGAATTCAAAGCAGCATTACTATTCAACCTACCAATCTCATTATTGGGTAAATAGCCAAAGGAATATATATAGTTCTACCACAAAGACGTATGTACACATATGCTTATTGTAGCACTATTCACTATAGCAAAGACATGGTATCAATGATGGGCTCTCATTGCCCATTAATGATAGACTGGATAAAAAAATGTGGCACATATACACCATGGAATGCTATGCAGCCATAAAAAATAATGAGATTATGTCCTGTGCAGCAACATGGATGGAGCTGGAGGTCATTATCTTAAGCAAACTAATAGGGGAACAGAAAATGAAATACTGCATGTTCTCACTTATAAGTGAGAGCTAAAATTGAGCATATATGTAGACACAAGGAAGGAAACAATAGATAATGGGGCCCACTTGAGGGTAAGGGGAAGGAGAAGGGTGAGTACCAAAAAGCTGTAGTACCTATGGGGTACTATGCTTATTACCTGGGTGATGATATAATCTATACACCAAGCCCCCATGTAACTCAATTTACCTAAATAACAAGCCTGCACATGAACCTCTGAACCTAAAATGGATGTTTAAAAAAGGACAAAATTTGAACAGATATTTCACAAAGGAAAATGCATAAACAGATTCTCAGCATAATTAGTCATCAAGAAAATGAAAACTAAAATGGTAAGTTGCTACTAAATGTTTATTGATTGGAATAGTAAAAATTTAAATTATTACAATAGCAATTGTGGAAAAATATGTGTTAATTAGAATTTTCTTATATTGATTGTGGGAATGTGAAATAGGAAAAATACTTTGGAATATAGTTGTGCTGGTTCTTATAAAATTAGAAATACATCTATTACCAGCAAATAAACCCTTAAAAATGTACCAAGAGAGGCCAGACACGGTGGCTCACTCGTGTAATCCCCGCACTTTGGGAGGCTGAGGTGGGTGGATCTCCTGAGGTCAGAAGTTTGATACCAGCCTCGCCAACATGGTGAAACCCTGTCTGCCAAAAATACAAAAATTAGCCAGCTGTGGTGGCATACAAGTAGTAATCCCAGCTACTTGGGAGGCTGAGGCGTGAGAATCGCTTGAACCTGTGAAGTGAAGGCTGCAGTGAGCCGAGATCATGCCACCACACTCCAGCCTGGGCGACAGAGTGAGACTCTGTCTCAATAATAAAAGAGAAATGCCAAAGAGAAGCACAAATATATGCCCACAGAAAGACTTGTTAATTGCAAATTTATTCGTAATACCCAAAAATTGAATGTGATAGAAGATGATGGTTAATCTTAAGAGATGAATGAATGAACAAATTGTGGTATATTTATACATGGAACACTACATAGTAATAAAAGGAATAAAGAATTGATATACATATATAATAACTTAGATAAATATCAAAATCATATGCTAAGAGAGAATATGTGGAGACCAAAGAGAATATACTATAGGATTTCATTCATATGCAACTCTAGAAAAAAACCAAATCAATCTACTATGAGAGATCCCCCGGAATTAATTTGGAAAGAGCATAATCTAATATTTTGGAGTGAAAGAAATTTATATATCTTGGTTTCAGTAGTGATTAGAAGTATATATACTTGTATACATTTGAAATATGAATTAGAATTGTGTACATGAAACAAATGCCATCATAATGTGTAAATTATACTTTAATACAATTGATTTAAGCAAGATAAGCTATAAATTGGGAGAAGACATTTCAGTAACTTCCAAGGATTTGTAACCAGCAGGTAGACAATTCTAGCACATATCAATAAGAAGACAAAACCCAATTTAATGAATAATGGAAGAACTTCTTCTGAAATAATTGTATCCAAGGATCAATGAAGACATGAAAATGTGATCTTCTTAGTAGTAATTAAAAAAGAAATTAAATTTATGGCTACTAAACAACCATCAGAGCAACTGACATTAAATAGATAAACCACACCAGGTATTTTTGAGAATATGGAGTCAGCAAAACACTAATATCTTAAAATTAAACACACACATTCTTATATATGTCATGGAAACATTTTAAATATTTGTTAAGTGGAATGTCCAGAAGTCCAAATCTATGAAACTGAGAACTTTTAATCTAGGTATTCATTCAATAGAAATATGAATTATACACACACACACACACACGCACACACACACACACACACACACACATATGTGTTTAGGAAAATATATGTATGCTTCACAAAATATACGTTTCAAAAACTTTATAACAGCATTAATCTCAATAATAATAATAAGGAGAATCTGTGTTAGGCTTTCCTGATCCTTCAATACATTTGGAGCAGTATGATACAGTCACTCACACCAGGCATTGCATCAGCTTTGCTGCTCACAACTCCACAAGACTTTACTTTTTGTCTAATAGAGACCATGTGAAAGAAATAATAAAAAA